TGGGGGAGGCAGAGGGAACAGGTTCAGGGGGACTGAGGGCAGTGGAATGAGGTGGGGGGCACAGGGGGGACTGCAGGGGAGGCTGAGGAACAGGGTCAGGGTGGGGGCTGAGGCAGTGGGGCTGAGGGGAGCCCCCCCCAGAGGGACCTGCCAGGAGGCCAAGTGAGCCCAGCAGTGCTTACTTGGAGCGGCTCCCAGGAAGCATCCAGCAGGCAGGTCCCTCCCAGTCCCTCTGGCCCCTTCCTAGGGTCAGGTTGGGTCGAGGGGAGGGGGGCAGGGGTGGGAGGGCTCTCTGCCCGGCGACCGCTGCCCGCTGCCAGAGTCTACAAGCCCCGCCCCACTGCAGCACGCAGGGGAGCGAGGCTGCCTTGCTGCCTCTCTGTGTGCCCAGGGTAGGGCTGTGCTCTGCAGGCTCCTGCTGGCCAGGCGGTGGGCCCCGTGGGCTGGCGCCGCCGCGCCGGGAGCTCAGCTGCGCACTACCCTAGGGCCCAGGGAGAAAAGGTGAGTGGCGCCGGCGGCGCCGGCTTGCTGCGGTCCCCCTCTGGGTGACCAGACGTCCTGACCAATGTAAGGTCGGGACGCAGGACAAATCCCCTAAAATCGGGACTGTACCGATAATATCGGGACGTCTGGTCACCCTAGGGCTAGGAACAACTGTCAGAGCTGACTACATTGTTTTTATGACACCTGGATATTTCTATGTCCAAGAGGAATCCTCAGTTATTGCATTAGGGCAGCCCTCCATCCCGTGTACACCACGGAAGAGTCTGAAGGGGACAGAACTGGGGCAGAAGATCTGGGTGGTACACTGTCCAGCTGTGGTTTTTTACTGTGCTGAAACTGTGAGGCACATGGGCCTAGGATGGATGCCTATGTTAGTCTTTGTATATTATTTCATTAAATAAGTGAAAGCTCTCTAAAGGCTTGTCTATATTAGAAAGTTTTGTCACTTTAACTACATTAGTATAATTAAAGCAGCAACCTACCCCCTGCTGTGGACAGTTATATCCATAGAAAAGTGCCTTGTATCAGTACAGCTTATTCTGGTTCTGGAAGCAAAATAGGCTGTACTTGTATAAGACACCTTTATACTGATGTAACTGTGTCCACATTAGGGCTCATACCAGTACAAATACATCAGCTAAAATAACAGCCCTAGCCAACAGTTATTTACCCAGATACAACTTTTAAGTGTAAACCAGGTCTAAGATTCTTCTGTACTGCACTCATTGCCATTGTTGTCAAGCACCTTCCAAGCTCAAATGCTTTTTAACAAGTTCCCTCTTTTTTCCTCCCTTTGCACACCCTCACAGCTGCAGTCCAACACAGGGCAAATTACTCTAACCGCCTTCTCCATTTAAAAGGCTTGTCACAACTTAAGCAGCGAGTCGCTAGGGCGATGTCTACAAACCACTCTCTGGAAGCTCCGGGTACACCACTCCAGCAGACAGTGATGGTAGTTTTAAATCTCCTAGATTTGGTTAGATTTTGCCTCCATGTTGTCTGGATAGGGATGGAGTGACACTTCCAGTTAAGGTTTAAAATGGGGCCTGTAAGTCCTATAAGAAAGCTTTCCCCTTGCGCATCCACAGCAAAACAGCTTACCTGCTCAGTCCACTGCTGCAAAGGGTGCTCATCACAATTCAAAGCTTTCAGAATCTCACTCTCATTGTTGTGATGCTTGGTGTTGCGTGTTTTGATATCGCTCTCATTCCCAACGTCTCTCAGGAACCTGTACCTGCTGTGGAATCAAAGGCACACTGGGGATATCCTGCTGCACTGCACAGAATGGGGCAGCTTGCAAATCTGCTGTTTGAGGGTCTGTAATTTTCATTCATGGTACTTACGTCTGCTTGCTCCAGAAAAAGGGATGTTGGATCAAGTCTCTCAGCAGGTTCTCAACTGGGCTTCCTTCATCAGGGAAGACCAGACTTTCCCTAAGGTCTGCAATCTCCACATAGTCTTGCACATCCTCTGAACAATTAACATCCAAATTGTGTCTATCATTTTCCTCAAAGGGGACCTTACCCACTGTTACAACATACAGGACCAGCCTTCTGAGCGCCTGAGTATGAGAACAAATGGCTGTTTCATTCCAGGGCACACAACCTCCCACCAAAGAGAAACAGAGACAGAGAAACTATCTTCTGAAATCAGCACTCTGAGTGTGTGTACGCATGTGTGTACGTGTATGGCTGCAATTACTTCATGAAGTGTTTGTATTAGAGAGCCCACCACACTGAAAGCGTAGAGCAAAATCAGGAAGTGACTTCCAGGAGTCAGAGAAAATCTTCGTTCCTAATCACTCTCACTTCCTTGTACTGTGGTCTCTTGTGCTATCAGAATTTCCAGAAACCAAGCTGTTATACAATTCCTTTTGAATATGCAGGAAGATCAGCTGATTCGCCCCAAGAAAGCAAAGAAAATAAATGAATAGAACGAAGGAAGCAAAAGACAAAGGGTGTGTGGGGTAATCGGAAACATAATATTGGTTTAATGGAAAGTTACCTTCAGGTCTTTGATTATAACATCATCCTTCTGTCCTTCACTCAATCTTTTGCTCTTATCAAAATCTGCTAAGCGAACTTTACCAGCAGCATCTGACAAAATAACAGGAATAGTTAAGCCTGTTGTTTGTCTGTGTGTTATGCTCCTTTTCTCTGGTACCTAGTTGAATTATTCGCATGACCCCAGAATTCT